GAAACTAGAACATATGGCCCCTCCCTGGGGCAGGTCTTTCTGTCACTCTCGAAGAGCCCAGGGATTTTGTAGAAGGTCATTTGGATATTAAGCCATTCTCAGACATGGGCACAGCTAGCCTTCCTCTTCTGAGTCTTTATTCTACCAACTCTCTCACCTACCTTACCTTAGGATGGTGTCAGCCCTACACCCAGCCTATGGGTACCCTGCGATGAGGGAATGAATCCTGTCCTGCCCTCCTGGTCTCTGGTTACCCTCCCTACAAGCTTGGAGGTAGCCTGGAGTAGAGGCAGAAAGGAAATGACTACCCATTCTGAGGGTCTGGTTAAAATGCTGGATCTGTATCTGTGAAGTGCTTAGAAATCGATGAAAACTGGGCATTAGAAAAACAAACCCAGGGAAACCTCTAATCCTGTTCTCAGTGAGACCCCAATGGAGATAGAGGAAATACTCCCTCACCTACCATCTCCTCAATCCAGTGAGACTGGAGGTCTCCTCACCCACATATCAGATCTGTTGATAAAGTGGTGAGGATCACTTTGACTTAAAAAGCATCTCTGCCCTTTCAGATTGGGTGACCCTCCCTTCCTTCTTCCCCCTCCACAGATACTTCCTAGCCATGTGACCTGAGGAAAGTCACTTAACTACCATCTGCCTCAGTTTCCTCAACTGTAAAATGAGAATAATAATAGCACATACCTTTCAGAGTTATTGTGAGGATCAAACAAGATGATATTTGTAAAGTACTTAGCACAGTGCCTGGCACATAGTAGATGATTTAATAAATTCTTGTTTCCTTCCTTCCTCAGGGGACTTTTTTTTTTTGAGAGGAGAGGAAGTGGGTGAGGTCTCATTTGGTCTGAGAACCTCTCTGGACTTCATAGAAGATACCCTACCATCTCCCATCCCTAAGCCCATACCCCATACATATCTCAAAGGATAACCCCTATACACAGCTCCCATCTCTAAGAGCTATCCCCAGCCCTGACCTCCCCCTAGAGTTACGGTTGACAACAGATAATACCACTACCTCTCCCTAATCAAAGACAGCTTCTACCCTTCCCTCACAGGCCAGAAAAGCCCCCTTGAAGGCAGAGAGAGGACAAGACAAACACTCAGCTGGACTCTGGCTGGTCTTGGGGCATCTGAAGCCTCATCCATCCCAGCTTAATGAGGTCTAAGGAAGTGGACGCTGCCCGCTTATGGGTATCTAAGGAATAATAATTACTTATAAGTTCTTATGAAGAAATTACATTATGTGTGTAGAAACATATACATATATATATATATATATATTTTTTTTTACTCATGAGTTTTAGTCCTTCCTCTAGTTCTTCTACCCCTCCTCCCACCCCCAGTCTAGAATACCTAGGCCATTGCTGCAATTTGCCCAGAGAGTAGAGGAAGCTAAATGAGAAAGAATTTGCTTAGCTCATCATCACCTTAACAGCCCTTAGATAGATAGGACACTGGTTGCAAGAGCAATGGCTACTCCCCCTGCCCTCCCAGCCTGGGAGAGGTAAGTAGAGGCATACAGAGATTTTATGTCCTGACCCTACCCAGAAAACAGGGTCTGAGTTAAGACTGTTTGGCCCTTCTTTTGGACTGATGTGACTTCTCCCCAGATTAGGCCTCAATTATAATCAGAAGATATCAGGGGGTAGGAGAAATTAAAGGCAGTTTCTGTCCTCTTGGGGTCCAACAAGTCTAAAGATCCACTAGATCCTGAGAGCCTGAGAAGGGATTGACTTCACCAAAGCCAGGGCATAGCGGGGCCAATTGTAAAACCTTAAAGGTATATAGAGCTAGGCTGTGATGATAATGATGATCTCAGCCCTTAAATCAGTCCTGATTGAGGCAGGTCCCTTGACACCTGACCCAATGATATCTAAAGGACAGAGCTAGGCTGGCATGAGTCACTCCACTCCAGCTCCAAGCTCAAGACTACCTGTAATTCAGGGCCCCCTCAATATCTCACTCTTTAGTATGGAGGTGGAGAGCCAATATCTCTGACCTATGTCCTCATCTTTGTAGCAATGGGAGGGATCAGGATGACCTTCCCCTGGGAAGGCCTGACTCTCCGGTTTAAGGAGCCCCACACCCAGAATCATTGTCCTGCCCCACCCCCTGCTCCCAGGTTTCCTCCCCCAACACTTCCCCACCCCCATCCAACCCCAAGGCTTCACAAAAAAGGACAGAGGGACCCCATGCCTTTGTGCTGCACTAAAAATACTCAGGAGGAAGCACCCCCGCCCCATGGCTTCCTGAGACTCCAGAATGACCCTGTGCCTCCTCACACAGCCCCAGCTGGCCCAAGGGGTACTGCCCTCTTGGCAAGGACTCTGGAGCCTATAGATAAGGTCTGGACAGCCTGGGCTAGTGGATTTTTCCACAGGAAGGTGAACCCAGGAACATTTATGTCCAAATAAATTGGGAGAGGAGAGAGATTATATTTTCCTCCTCCTCAAGGGCCTAGGACCTGCCCAGGGTCATGTGTCCTATGAGGGAGAGCCAGTGTTGGCCCCTGGGACTAGAAGGGGGGATCCTGAAATAGCCATTCCAATCCTGGTCCCAATAGTCCCCAGACTTGTGCCACTCTGTCCTCACTGAAGATCTTCCTTATCCCAGGATTTCTTTCAGAGAGAGATTTGACTATAGAAAAGAGCCCTCGACTATGTCAAGAAACCTGGGCTTCCCATCTTGCCTCTATTAGTAATCTGATGGGTAATTTGAGATAAATCATTTTCTCTTTCTGAAACCCAGTATCCTTCACTATGAAGGGATTGGACTTAGTTGTGTCCAGACTCCCTTTCATCTCTGAAGTCTTATGTTCTCCAGATTCCTCCCCTGGAGCCCCCAACCCCTCTGCCCAACTCTGATGTTGGGAAACAGCAGCAAAAGGTCCTGACCTAGATGGGTGTAGAGTCTCGGGGAAGACACAGGAGGAGCAAACCCAGGCCCTGCCATTAGGGAGCTCATAATCAGGGGTGGGGAGGACATAGAGACTGGTGACAGCACAAGAACAGGGCAATCGTACCCAAACTCTGAAGTCTCTAGGAGCTCAGAGATGGGAGGCCAGAGGGATCAGGGAAGGCTTCCTGGAGGAGGTGGGGTTTGGGTAGGGTTTCACTAAGCAGAAAAGAAGAAGGGCTTTACCTACAGGAATGATGTGAGCCTAATGTGGGGGGTAGGTGAGATGGGGCTTTGAGGAATCTAGCTTGACTAGGGCAGAAAAGGCACTCCCAGAGTTGGGAAAAGTTCTGAGGAGGAGAGAGGGATTTGACAGAGGCTAACAACGTGGTGGAGAGGAGCTAGTAGACGTTTCTCCCGCCCATGGCCCAATCAAGTTTCCATCTTTGGTCAGGAGTACCCCCACTGACACACACATACATAAATAGCTCTCTATTATCTGGCCTTCCTGGACTCAGTAAGGACAAAATTCTTCTCTTCTGGCTCCAGTCTGAGAAGGAAGAAAGAAGAGAAGAAACTGGAGGCTGGAATATTTAATAGAAGGCACAAGGGAGACCCTCACCTGACAGCCAGGTGAGGTCAGCCTGGGAGGAAGAAGGTGCCCAGGAAAGATAATCTAGAGCCCCTTTAAAGTAGGGAAATCAGTGCCCTGGCTCCTGAGGGTGCGTCTAGGGTGGGGCCCCAGGAAGCTCGGGCCTGGTTTCCTGAGGGTTTGTTATGGCCTGCCCTGGGAGGTCTTTCATCTCACAATGGAGGGGGGAGTTTCCTTCAAAGTCCTGACCCCCTTCCTTGAACAATGAGGACCAGGAAAGGCAACCCGAGAGACTGGGAGCAGCTGGGAACACAGTCCACCTGCCTCAAGATGACTTCCCTGGCTGAGCTCGGATCTGAACCACAGCTGGATCCTAGCCCCCAACTCCAAACCATTGCCAGAATGACTGCCAGCGTTCACAATCCCATCCTTCAAGAATCTCTGCTGAGAACAAGGGTCCTTAATCTCTTGTGTCATCGACCCCTTGGCAGTCTGAAGAAGCCTATGGACTCCTCAGATTACAAATTATTTCATCTCAATTATATTTAAATATAATTATCAAAATATTAAAAGTTCCAAGTTCACATACCCCCTCCCTTCCATCCCCCACTGAAATCTATCCATGGACTCTTTGGAGATTGTGGGTCCCAGGTAAAGAACCTTAGGCCTAGAACCATGACTCTCTCCCTCCTCCTCTCAGCTTTAGCCATATCAGAAGCCCAGCTCTGAGACCTATTCAGCTGGGGGAGGATGGTACACTGGGCTCAGAGGAGGGGATAGGGGTGGGGATGAGGGGGGAATCACTTTGCCCAGAGTGTGCCCAGGGAACACTCCCTTCTTACAGGGAGTATGTGTATAGGAACGTGTAGGCCAGCTCCCCTCCTCACAGAACACACTGCCCCAACACCCCGAAGGGGCATCAGTTCTCACTCTCTTGAGTGCCCACACGCCATCCACACACAGACCGGCTATTAGTAGCCTCCTACCCCTCCCACCCCCTGCATTCTTCTCCTACCCCCATGTGGCAGCCACTGCTCTGGGGGCCAAGGCAGCTTGTGCTGACATTTGTCCTTGTGTGTTTGTTGCAGAGGGATGGCGGTGGGAGGACAGCTCCAGCATTAGGCTTGGCAGCTCCCAATGGAGAGGAAGCTGCCCAGCTCAGCAGGGACTGAGAAAGCCCAGCGAGAGGCTGCTGGTCCCAGCAGACTTGGCACATCTCTGGAGAGAGGATCAGCGGGTTTTAAAACTAAGCCTTAGAGATCATAGACTCCAAGTCTCCTCATTTTATACATTAAGAAACTGAGACCCAGAGGTCTGAAGTGAAGCTTGTAGCAGAAAGAACAGGGACTCCAACCCAGGTCTCCTGAATCCAAATGCAATATTCTTACCGCTGCATCCCCCACCCCCCAGGCAGAAACCAGAGCCTGTGAGGACAGAGACGAGGTAAGCTGAAGGGGGCTAAGATGTCACAGAGCACTCACCCCCATCTTGTCCCTACCTTCTGGCTGCTGAAGCTGCCCCCCATAGCCCTTGGGGGCCGGGTCTCTGGCTGGGGCTCCCACAAGCTGCCATTATCCTGGGGGGACATGGGAGCTGAAGGCAGAACTCCGTGATAAGCCATCTCCTCTGTGCAGGTCAGATGCAGGCTGGCCAGGTATTCATCTGTCTCCTTGTCCACCACCAGGAGCCGGGTCTCACCCTCTACAGCCTTGATCCTCTGTACTACCTGAGGGAGGGAAGAGGTAGGTTAAAGTCCAGGTCAAAGGCTCTTCACTAGCCTAGAAGCCCAACTGGCCACCCACCCAGTCCAGGAAGTGACTAGAATCTGGGCAGATGAGCATACGGACAGTCGTTGTCCACGCCTTGCCCAACTCTCAGGGCAGAGAAGATGGGTGAGGATTCCCGCCTGGCCATGACTGGCGCTCTCCTGCCTGTGAGGACTGAGAAGAGCTCCAGTCCTCATTCCCCCCTCCTCCTGGCTAGGCCAGCCCCCCACTCCCACACTATGAAATCTCCCTCCCCTCCCAGAGCACTGGAGAGAATGAGGGCTGGAAGCCAGTGACTAGAAGAGGCTTTAAGGATAGAAGGGGGCAGAGCCCTGGGAGTTCTGCTCACCTAGCCCACAACCCATCCAGGGATCTGTTCCCTACTCCAAGTAACCAAGTCTAACCCCTAAAGTCAGGTCCTAGAGCTTTAGTGTACAGACAAATATATAGTGTAGTAAAAAGAGTACCAGATTTGGGTGCAAAGAAACTTATTCAAATCATCTGCTGCTTACTGCCTCGGTGATCTTGGGCAAATCCCTCCCCTTCTCTGGCCCTCAATTTCTTTAGTCTGTAAAATGGGACCAGATGATGTCTAAGGTCCCTTCTTCCTCTAAAATCCTATGATCCCTATGACTCCTCCCTCTTGGGGTACCTCTCCCCTTCTCAGACAAGCCTCAAAGGCCCAGGTTTGGCTGTCCTGGTGTGGTCAGCCCTGGGCTGTATTCCCCTGAGAGTTGATGGAGCAGTTTCCTGGGGGTTCCCCCAAATGCTTCTGGAGGAATTTCACAATCTATCCAGGTCTCCCCTTTTGCCCTTGGTTCTATCAGAGCTTATCCCATCTTCTCTTTCCTATGAATGTTCTAAGGCTTAGCACTATGTGCCTGGCACATAGGAGCCACTTAATAAATGCTTGTTGATCAGATGAGCAACCTCACCCAAGCTGGCCCCTTCTTTCCTAATGTGCCTTCCCCTTTCTTTTCCAGCAGGAAGCACCATCTGGAAAGCATATGGGAAGGCAGCCTAGCACAGTGAAAAGAGACAGAAGACCGTGGTTCGAAACTACTGTCACTTACAGCTGTGTGACCTTGGACAAGTCATTCTCATTCTTTGGGCTGGAGTTTTCTCATCGATAATAGCACTAGGTTTGCAAAGCACTTTGTCGATCTCATTTGAGCGTCACAATAATCAGTGAGATAGGTACCATTATCATCCCCATTTTACATATGCAGAAACTCCATGACTGAGAGAAATGATATGCCTTGCCCGTTTGGCTGATGTCTGAGGCAGGATTTGAACTCACCCTGACTCTAACCATGTTTAACACTCTTAACCATTGAGCCTCCTATGACCTCTAAGTTTCCTTCTACCTCTTATACTGTATCCTATGTCATTCTCCACAGGCTGTGGTTGGATGCTTCAGTATAAGACTGTTCCCGGGGCAGCTACATGGTGCAAAGGATAGAGAATGTAACCTGGCATCAGGGAGGTCTGAGTTCAAATCCAGCTTCAGTCACTTTCTACTTGTGTGACCCTGGGCAAGTCACTTAACCTTGTTAATCTCAAAAAAAAAAAAACAAAAAAAAAACCAGACTGCTCCTAAGGCCTGACCAACAGGACACCCTGAAGATTATTGGCCAGTTCTGAAACATTCATCCAGTTTCATCAACTGGACAAGGAAAGGAAGCAATCAGGCTTGGTTAAAAGGATATCAGGCTGAGAGGATGAAAGTTTGTGACTTTAAAAGGAAAATACTGGTCCTAATCTTTTTTTTTCCTGATCTAGCCCCAGAAATCTCAGTGCCAGATATTAGAGGAAGGTTGGGCAAGATGGGGGAAACCAAGTCTGGGGGTGCACAATTGGAGTACAATCCCTAGAGCCAGACAAGGCAAGACTTCTGAGCCTTTCTTGGGGAGCAGGGAGCAGGTACTCAAGCTTCCCTCCCACCCAACACACATAACTGTGCTTGTATACAAGCATACACGCACACATGTGTTGGTGGCTTCCCTCATTTAGCACACATGTCTGCTGCATGATGGACCTTGTTCAAATTTTGGGGTTAGTCAGCCCAGACAGGGCAAGAGACCCATCCAAGGGCATACATCGAGTCAGCAGTGTTGCTGAAGCCCGAGCACAGGTTCCTTGGCTGGGTGCCTAGCCCAGCCCAGAGTAAATAAGTACATCATGAGGAAGAATATGAAGACAGAAAAGGGCAGGAATAATAGCTAGCATTTATATAGTACTTTAAGCACTGCAAAAATGCTTTAACGTTAGTTAGTTTGTTCAGAGCAACAACCCTGTGAGAGAAGCATCATTATTATTCTCATGTTTACAAATGAGGAAACTGAGAGGCAGAGAGTTTATCACACATCTAATAAGTGTCCAGGGCAGTATTCAAACACAGGTCCTCCTGAGGTTCAGTCCCATGCTCTAGCAGTTGCATGCTAACTAGCTGCCTCTAGATACTAAGAAGGTTCAGAGGAGGGAGTTGGGAGGATGGAGAGGGATAGAAAACTGATGGGAAGGAATAGCTAACATTTACATAGTTCTGGCTATGTGTCAGGGTCTTCTCATGTGATCCTCATAACAACTCTGGGAGGTAGCTGTGATTATCATCCCCATTTTACAGATGAGGAAACTGAAACAAACAGAGGTTAAGTGACTTGCGTAAGGTCACAAAGCTAGTGAGAATCAAAGGCTGGATTTCAACTCAGGTCTTTCTTACCCTATGCCCCATGTTCTATTCACTGCATCTGAATGACCCAGCACTCCTTCATGACTCTGTGGGGGCAACAGAACAACATGTATACATCATTGTATACAATGAAATAAGGGTACAAAGAAATCTGCACGTCTGTGTGGAGGTGACAAAGAGTATGTGAATATGGGTGCATTTTGGGTAGGTGAGATAGTGTGGGAATGAGCGTGCATGCTCTAGTAGGGTGCCATCCAGACAGAGTATGTGACTGAACCCTGGGTTCTGTGTGGGAGTCAGGGTGAGTGAGGCATCCTGGAGGGAAGTCCCCAGTGGAACATGCCTCAAGGATCTGTCCTTGGCCCTGTTCTGTTAACTACCGTACCAATGATTTGAACAAAAGAATGGATGGCACACTTATCAGAGTTACAAATGAAGCAGAACCAGGAGAGCTAGATAACCCACTACAGAACAGGCAGGGTCCCAACACACTGAAGGATATGATAGAGCAATACGCTTACATTGAATTAAGTGAAATGGAATGGACATAAACAAAAGGGCCTAAAATCAGATTTCTATAAAACAATTAAATAATTTGTGTAGGAAGATATCTGGAGGTTTCAGGGGACAAGTTCATTACGGGCCAATAATGATGGGATATGGAAACCGAAAAGGCCAGCGTGATCTTATTCTTAACAGAAGCAAAGTAGACAAGCTAAGGGTGTTGTAGGCCCACTGTCCTCTGTCCTGGTCAGACTACCTCTGGAGTGTTGTGTCCATTTCTGTGCATGACACTTTAGGAAGGTCACAGACAAACTGGCAAGCAGGAAGGTGAAAGGGCCAGAATCCATGTTCTACAAGAATCAACCGAAGGAACTGGGGGTGTTTAAAGTAGAACTTCATCCATCTCCAAGCTGTCAGGTGGGAGAAGGATGAGATTGTTCTGCTTGGCCCCAGAGGGTGGATCTGGGCTGGGCTACGTGTAAGTTAAAACTTCCTAACAACTAGAGCTCTCTCTTTCTCTCTATTTCTCTCTCTCTCTCTCTCTCTCCCCCCTCTCCTGCCACCCAGGACAGGTGACTTGCCTAGGGTTGCACAACTAGTAAGTGTCTGAGTCTGGATTTGACCTCAGGTCCTCCTGACTCCAGGTCCAGTGCTCTATCCACTGCACCACCTCACTGCCCCAACTAGAGCTATCTCAAAGTGGAATGGGCTACCCCAGGAGACAGTGAGCTTCCCATGAACACTGAAGGTGTTCAGACAGAGGCTGCATGACCACTTGCTGTAGAGGGAATTCTTGTTAAAGCATAGTGGATGCCCTTTCATGCACTTCTGTGAGTGTATCTTGGTATACATGACAGAAGGAGTTGTGCAACTGTGTGTATAAAGGTGACAGAGTGAATATTTGTGTCTGGAGCAGAATGACAGTATAAACACGAGTGTACGTTTGAGGAAGGTGATGACATAATGCATGTGCGCACTCTTGGCACCTCCTGAATACTCACTCACTAAGTTTCCAAAGCAGGCATTCAGGTAGGAGCAGAGGAAAAAGAAGCAAGGGCCTTCCCCACTGCCAGCTCTAGGAGACCTGCGCTCCAAACCCATTTCAGACACTTACACACTGTATGACTTTGCTCAGGCAACTTACCCTCTCTGGACCTCAGTTTCCCCATCTGTAAAATGGGGATTGTATGTGGTTATGTGTGACATTAGCTGGAGCTCCCAGACAATAAAGCTGGATTGGCCAGGGGTCCACAGACCCTCCTAGGAAGAGACCAATGCCAATAAGCAGCTGGGATGTCAGGAAGCAGTGGCAGAGAATAGGTGCCTGCCACACACTTGGGAACGATGAAATATTAACTGAGCATTGAGCAGACGCCTAAATCCTAGCACAGGGTATGCAGAGGTCCCTCCTCTGGCTCCTGAGAGCAGGCTCACAGAGGGATCATTCACATACAGTAGAAGGACCACTGATCCTGAAGTTAGTGGACTTGATTTCAAACGTCACTTCTGATACTTCCTAGCTGTATGATCTTGGGCAAATCTCAGCCTTTCTAAGACCTCATTTTTTTCCTACGTGAAATGAAGTGGTTAGACTAGATGGCCTTTGAGTCTCATTGAGTTCTACAGCTATGATTCCATTAACAATCCACAACAAACCTCATGAGTATGAGTGGAAAGCTACCCCCACCCCAAACGCACACATTACACAAGCATCCTTACTCGCCTTGAACCTACTCAGTCCCAGGCCAGCCGCTGGTTTGATGTCCAGAGCCTCAGGCTGGGACAGGTTCTACAGCAATCAATCAATCAATCAACATGTAGTAAGTGCCTACTATGAGCCAGGAACCATGTTAACACATACCCCATGGTTCCAGGAAGTGGAATGGGAACATGATGCTCCAACTCTCTGCCTCTCTCTACCCATTCCTGTCTCTGCCTTTCCTAAAGAGGCTTGGACAATATCAAAGAGTTCTGGATTTGGCTCTAGGAAATCTCATCTCCAAACCCATTTCGGACACTTATTCACTGTTATGATTTTCCTTAGGCAACTTAGCCTCTCTGGGCCTCAGTTTCCCCATCTGTAAAATGGGGATTGTGTATGCTTAATTTTCATATAAGTAAGTAATATTAAAGTTTCAATAATTCAAGGGTCCATGATTTAATCAGTGTAAGTGCTCCCTCCACCAACAAAGATTTCAACTCCTTTTCGCCTTAAAAGACTGTCTTAGGAGTTGCTATGGTTGAAAAATTCACCCTGCAGCCAACCTTTAGCTTTGCTAAAGCTGATCCTTAGGGGAAAGACAAGCAGTCCATTGCCAGGCTGTATTCAAAGTCTTCCCAGCTTGGCAGAACTTGCCAAAACTTGCATTCTGTGAGCATAACCCCAGAGAACCCCAGGGCACTTCCACACCACAATGAGCCTTCGGGGGAGGAGAATAATTAATACTTCAAGATCTGTAATTTTGTCAGTATGGGTAGTCCTTCTGCCTAACATAGGTTCCCAACCTTTCTAAAACCTTACTAAATGGTTTTGGAGAGTTGCTAAGGCAACTAGTCAGCGAGATGGTGTAATGGATAAATTGAGGGGCCCGAAGTCAGGAAGACCTCAGTTCAAATCCTCCCTCAGTCACTTGCTAGTTGTGTGACCCTGGGCAAGTCACTTCACCTCTGCCTGCCTGGGTTTCCTCATCTGTAAAATGGGAATAACAATAGCACCTACCTCCCAGGATTGTTGTGAGGATCAAATGAGATGATAATTGTAAACATCTGGCACATAGTAAGCTTTATATAATTGTTAATATTTTTATTATACAATTCATCACCCTGTGGCCAGCCTGGGAATGAGAGATGTGCTCATTTTACAGCAGGGAAACTGAGGTCCAGCCACAGAATGGTTAGATGACTTTAAGCAAATCATGTAACCACTCTGACTAGGCCTCTGTATCCCTATGTGTAAAATGATGGGATTGGGATACATCAGGGGTTCTTAACCAAGGGTCTCTTTCTCTCTCTCTCTGTATATATATACACATATATATGTATATGTGTGTATAGATATGTATGTATGCATATTGTGTATGTGTATAGGGATGTATATATCTATATGAGACACGTGTGTATATGTATACATGTAGACACATATGTATACCTACATTTGTGTATATTATATGTATATGTGCATATATAAATGTACGTATGTATATGTATCTTTTTTGTTAACTGCATTTGAATATAGTTGGTTTCCTTTGCAATCCTATTTATTTTCAGCATTTAAAAATGTCGTTCTGAGAAGAGGTCAGTCAATAATAGTCTTCACCAGACTGCCAACGGAGTCCTCGGTACAAAAAAAGGTTGGAAACTGCTGGACTAGATGGACTCCAAGTCCTTTTCCAACTCTTAATTGCCAGAATTACAGAATTTCAGAGTTGGAAGGAACACCATCAGCTATGCAATCCAAGACCACTACACCACCGTGGACAAGCAGCCATCTAGTCTTTGTTTAAAGCCCTTCACTGAGAGTCAGCCTACTAGCTCCAGAGTCAGCACCTTGCCATAGCTCTCATTGCTAGGCAGTTTTTCTTTATGTCAAGCCTAACTTTGTTTCTGCAAATTCTGCTTCTGCAGCTTCTACCCATTATCCTGGTACTTTTAGAGCCAAACAGATCCAGTCTAATCCCTCTTCCACATGACAACCCCTCAGGTACTTGAAAGGGGCTCTCCTGACCCCCCCATTCTTCTCTTTTCCAAGTCAAATACCCCCCAGTTGCCTCATCATTCTTTGATTCTATAAGGCAAGCCCCTTACCCAACCTTCTCTCTCTTAGAACTGATGGAGAGACACACTCGGAACCCAACCCCACCCCTGCCCTGCCTAAGATTGCTGCAGTTTGCCAAGACAGAGCAAGCAAAAGTAGAAGGCCCCAGCTGCAGTCCCTGGGTGTGTATCTGGAGGTAGCTCTAGAGCTAAAGATTAGACTACATAATATGTTGTCTCACACGTATATTGAAATGTGTGCATATGCACACATACACACACACAACCAGGAAAAACTAAGATAGAATAGCTTGCATTTCCTTAGCATACAAAATCTTTCCTCATAACATTCCTGTGAGACCACAACTCCTAACATTATCATTCCCATTTTACAGGTAAACAGGGAGATTAACTGTTTACTCAAGGTCACACAGTAAATAACATAACAAGGGCTCAAACCCACGTCTCCCCAATCCAAGTCTAGTGTTCATGTACCCATATGTTCTCTCTGTCAAAAAATGTATATATACAGATACAAACATAACATATGCATGGGAATCAACAGAAAATTGTACCCCCCCTTACTAATGAGTCATGGTGCACAGTCCAGACCCAAGAGCTGTCCCCTTCAAACAGAGCCAGGCTTCAAGACAAGGACCCCCACCTCCAGGAGCAGTGATAGTGGCTAGGATACCCATCATGGGGACAGGTATTTCCTTATCCCTGACACTTTTCTCTTCCTCATACAAGGAGACTTTCCCCGGGGGGTGCAAGTGAGAGCTGTTCTCAGACTGTTCAACACAGTCTCTGACATCAAACACAGACACAGAGTGTGCATAGACAAAAGAAGTCTCACAGTCATATACAGATAGTGTCACAGTCATGCACAATGTCACATCACACTGTCACATATAGATCTATAGTGTCACAGTGTCATATACAATGTAACATAATATCACAGGGTCATACAGATCTAGTGTCCTGCAGTATCTACATACATAGTATCACAGTGCGTGTGTGTGTGTGTGTGTGTGTGTGTGTGTATGGTATAAGATATTTTCACACAAGGTTACACATGATGTCCCACAGTGATACATTGTTTACATAGCTGACTATACACAATGTCACATGGATACAAAATCATGCAGTCACAGCTACACTAGGCTATGGACAGTGTCACAATCATATACAGGTATACTGTGTCATTTATAGTGTCACCTGGATACAATATTATACGGTATCAAATATAGATACAGCCAGGAATCCATCTTCAAAATAGTGACCCACACAGTCACACAGAGCTATCCAGCTACACATACTATGTCATGCTCCCTGCTCCAGACAATTTCCCATTACTCCCTTCCAGACCTCCACACAGACACACAATATCCCACAGTAATATAGATACAGGGTCACACACAAACACTATCACAGAGTATCATAATATAATCACAGTGTTACACAGGCACACAATATCACACGTTATTGCACCTAGATACACACAACACACAGACTCATACAAGAGTAGTTCAATCATACGGACACAGGATAGGAGCTATCCACCGCCTCCCTCGGACCCTCTGTGTCTATCACACACACACTCACACGCACACGCACACGCACACGCACACAATCTCGGGCCCACCTGGAGGTGCGTCTCCTTCTCCACGTTGACCCCATTCACCTCCACCAGTCGGTCCCCAGCGCGCAGCGCCGCTGCCTCCGCCGGGGAGCCTGGCTCCACCTTGCGAATGAATTGGCCACTTTTGCCCTTCTCTCCGTGCAGGTGGAAACCGTAGCCCTGCTCGCCCTTGATCATCCGGCACAGCCGGGGCCGCAGTTGGTCCTTGGCCATGGCGCCGCCGCTGGGGGCGCGAGCTCAGGGGAGTGGAGGGGGCGGGGGCGACTACGAGGAACCCCTAACCAAGGAGTATAGGACTCGGGAGTCCTAGGTCCTGGGGCTGGAGAGTTCGGGAAAGGATCGAAAGGCCAGGGGGGATCTGGGACCTGGAGGGGCCGAGGATGTGGGACAAGGGGATTAGAGCTGGAAGAGAGGGAGGAGGGAGGGCTGAAGGGATGGCAGGCGCAAGGGTGAGGGATCCGAGTGATGGAACTCGGGGGTGCAGTACGGAGGGGTTCAGCTGCTGGAGATCGGGGTGCACGACAGAAGGAGGCGGAGATTTGCAGAACTTGGGGGATCCAGGAAGTCAGAGCCGCAGTTCAACTAGTGTAGGGGATGCGGGCTGGGGGGCAGGGACGCCGGGCTTCCGGGGACCTCCGTCGGGAGTACTTTAGAGGCGGGGCTGGATGCTGCACCGGACCGGGAAACGACTGGGACCGGGGGCAGGGGCCTCTGCTGCCATGCTGGGCCGGGCTCTAGATTCGGGTCGGAGCAAGCTGGACTGGACCGGACCAGAGGCTGCGATTGCTGCCGCCCCAAGGACGGATCCAGGCTGGGGCTGGGGCCGGAGCTGGAGCAAGGAAGAAGGCGGCGGCTGGGACCAAGCGGCGGTGGTGGCTAAGCTACGCTCCCGCTCCGGCTCGGGCTCGGGCTCGGGCTCGGGCTCGGGCTCGGGCTCCTGCTCGGCACCGCCCCCGCCCCGCCTCCTCCACCCCCTCCATCCCCTCCTTTTCCTTCGGCCCACCGGGACTCGGGTCGCCCGCCCAGTAGCCCCCCGCCGGGTGGGAGGTCCGGGGGCGGAGCCGCAGGATGGGGGAAGGGGCACTGCCTGGAACCTGCCTGGAGACTCCGGTACTCTGTGGAAAGGGTTTGAGGGGTCGTTTTCGCCCGTCCTCCTGCCTCGGAGCAGGCCAGTCCCTGTAGGTGGCGGTTGGGGGTGGGGAAGGGGTACCCTGGTTTCTAGGTTTCCAAAGCAGAAGGAAGGGCTGAACCCTCGATAATATTCCTAACACTACCCCTCCTCTCTAATAACACCCAATCTGCCCTCTGTCTGAAAGCCCTCTCCCGCAGAGTGGCCAGCTCTGCTCTCCGAAGGTACTTAATCACAGGCTGCCTGGTATGTTACTTAAAACTTGGGGTCCTTTTTCCAGTTCTGCCGCTTCAACTCTAAGGCCTCCTCCCTCCCCCTAACTCCATTGACATCCCCTGATATGTTTCCCTGGTATTAAATTCTCCTTCCCAGACCCAGTAATTTCAGTCTTTTCTCTTCCTTTACCAGCTCCAAAAAGAAATCCCCACCGTCCTTCAGAAAGGTCCCTGAGAATACAGATTCCTCTTGACCCCACCCACCCTGTCTACACAAGCCCATTTCCCCATTCTTTTTCAGTACCCCCACACTCCCTGACACACTTGTATTTACACACACACCCAGTCCCAAAATCACTCTTAAATACACCAAGTGGGGCATTTTGAGGGCTAAGTTTCTTTCTTCATGCAGTGCTAGTCTCTTATCTCAGTCTTTATCCACCCTCCCCAGCTAGGAAGTAGGTTCGGGGATGTGACCCTCTCCTAATCTTGCCTAACCTGGTTCTTCTGACTCTCTTCATCTCCTAGGGACCCCTTCCCCAGATCACTTGACAAGTTCCCTGTAATCTCCCAGCTCAGTACTGAATATGGGAGCAGGAGAGGCAGACAGCTCAGGGCCTGGCATACCCTCCCCCTACAGAGCCAAGCAAGACTTCTCTTTCCCGAGTGAGGAGCAAATTCCACAAAAAGGAAACAGATTTCTGGCAGGTAGTTTTGTTGTCAGACATAAAGATCTGCTCAACCTTCAGGAGAATTTCCACCTCCACACGCTTTACAGCAGTGAACAGATTACTAGAGGGCATAAGCATTTATTTGGTCTCAAGAAAGGATTGGAGAACCCCTTTGGATCCTCCATAACTCTGGTCTGGATTTGGGGGGGATTAAGGTCTTTAATGGGAATAAATTGCTCTATCCATAGCACTTGCAACGATTCAGGGATTCAGGATAGACACAAGGTAGCAGTCTCCCTTCTCCTTTCTCCCCCTCTTCCTCCTGCTCCACTTCACCAGCCATGCTGCCCCTTCACTAGTATCCCATCACTCCTTTCTACTTCTCCACAGTTCTCAGTTCGTTTATTTTTCACTCCTCAGTCCTTTGGAATGGGCCAGTCTTACTGGCTAAGTATGCTTTCCAGATCAAATCTTATTCATTTAGACCTAAATAATTAGACTTTGAAGATTGCAAGGGTCCCACAAAACTGACTTAAGAGAAAAAGCTAAAGAGCACTTAAAAGAACAAGGTTATAGACTCTTGGTAACTAACTTTGGTTATCCAAAGACCAGCTTCACTAAGTTCTGAGATACTCATCACTAGGTTGGTTCTAGGGAGATGCATATTTTGACCACAACTTTTAAAATTGTATTGCTACCTTTTGTTTGTTTTACATCATCTTCATTTCTGAATATACCCCTCTATCCTCCTACCCATTGAGCCATATCTTGTAACAAAGAATAGAAAAGAAAGGGGGGGAACCCTGGTAAAACAAACCAAGACATCAACCAAGTCTGCAATTATTCCCACACCCACAGTTCTCCAGCTCACCAAAGAAGGGAGAAAGGGAGAGGTGCATTTTCTCATCTCTTCTTCAGGCTGGTGACAATTTTCAAAGACCGCCACTAAGTTATGGAGAAGTTCTCTGAGATTATCTGCAGTTTGCCCTGTCATATCTTACTTGCACATAGGTTTTTTCCCCCATGTTGTCTCCCCCCATTAGATTGTAAACTCCCTGAGGACAGAGACCGCTTTTGCCTTTCCAGATATCTCCAGAAATTAGCACAGTGCCTTGGCACAAAGTAGGTGCTTAATAAAGGATTGTGGGGGCAGCTAGGTGGCACAGTGGATGGAGCACCGGCCCTGAAGTCAGGAGGACCTGAGTTCAAATCCGTCCTCAGACCAAACACTTGACACTTACTAGCTGTGTGACCCTGGGCAAGTCACTTAACCTCAATTGCCTAAAAATTAAAAAATTAAAAAAAATAAAGGATTATAGACTTGATTTGGATTCAGGGTCATTGGGAGGAAGTGTGTACACTAAGGAAGTCATAGATCCTTGAAGTATCAGTAAAAGAGGCCTCTTTCATTCAAGTTCATATGTACTTCAAGGGTAGAAACTTACCCTTCTATATATGTTCTCGTCTCCATTAAAGGAAGATATGCTGGTCCCCCACATGGCCCCACCAGGTGGATCTATGAGTGCTGGTGGGGGAGTGAGAGTAACCCTTGACTTGTGTGTTCATAGTAACAGTAATACCTGCTATATTAGGAGAATTTCTTTAACTTCCAAGCTCTTCCCCAATCTCTCAAAGGGTCCCATACCACTCCTGTGTCAGACTCAGAGATATGCCCAGGAATTTTTACACCTGGGGAAAGCACAAAATACAAGTGAATTCCACAGGAGCTCACCCAGGCCCACTATCTGGAAGCTTCTTACCTTGACTAATTATTCTTGCTAACCAAGAACTGAGCTCTGTCGTTTCTACAGTGTTGAATAACCAGAAGATTTGTTAGCACCCTCTACTTTCAGTGGCCACCCGGGGCAAAGCTCCAATTTCCACTGTCACCACCAGGGGCTCTGGCTTTCCCACCTGCATTATATCCTTCATACTCTCAGGTTCCCTTCCTCATTGTCTCCTTCCTCGAGAGGCTTCTATTCTCCTCCTTTTCCCCTCTAGGCCTCTATCCCACAGCCCCCAAGTTATCTCTCTTCTCTGCAGGCTTTCCCAGGATTTCCCAGGATTTTCTGGTTTCTCTTCGTGGGGTCCCCTTCCTTCTCTAGATCACAAAGATACATAAACATAGATATGCAGAGATGTAAACACACTTACCAGGCTTGGAGGTGTCCCACAAAGCAGACTCTGCCAATTCCCCATGAAGGCAGAGGATCAGAGCATCTTATTACAGCTGCTCCCTCCCCGATGGAATGAATGACCAAACAGGGCTATCTCACACTCAACCGGAGCACCATTTTTGTCTTATTGGTCTTTGATCTTTAGGCATTCCAGCAATAAGTTCCTACCCTTTTTTTGGATAACTCTCCCTGGCTAAGTGGACTTCCACAAGTGGACTTCCTCTCCCACACTTCCTTGGCATAAAAGCCACTTAGGCTAATGCCAGTGGGACGTTAAGTCATCAATTTCTCTCTGGCCTGGTCCAATGAGTTTGTTTTCAGCCAGACCCTGATTCAGCTCCAAGATTATAAGATTAAAGCTGAGAGGGACCTTAGGTAACAGCTACCCCCATTCTCCTTCATTTCAGAGGTCCAGAGAACATAAGGGGTTTGCTCAAATTCACACAGACAGTAAAGAGCACAGCCAAGACTTGAACACAGTTCTCCTGAGTCTTTTCACTTCGGTTTCCTCATACTACATTGTCTATATGGTCTGTCTCTCTATGAACTATGTCTCTCAGTCCTGATATGTATTCTTCCACTTTGTCCTGGGCCCCTCCAGTTACATACCCAGCTAAAATGTGTCCTGTGGGCACTTTGGGGGAAAACAGAACAGCAGGACCTGGGGCCCCAAACACTTGAGCCCAGGGCCTATACTGTGATGAATCCTGCAGGGCCATTAGGGTGGAGTGAAGATCACCTTTGTGACTGCTGCCCTCCCTCCTCCATACCCCATTGAGCTAGCTGGTACTAGCTCTACCCAGGTCACTCACTGGGGACTGGAGCCCATATCTTCAAGATTTAAGCTAGGTTCAATGATGAAAGTAGAGTCCTCTTAGAGAGATACCAAGCATAATGACTTCAGTTTCACTGCTTCTTGGCCTCCCCTCTCTCTCCCCCCAACACCCCTTTTAAGACTGCAGACTCTTTCCTAGGCCAAAAAGCTTTGCTCCTGCTCCTCCATCCCTCCAACGCTCCTCCTGAGCTGAGTCACTCACACCGGCCCCCTGGGGCTGAAGCAGAGCAAACTCCTGCCCTCTATCCTGTTCACAGTATATTTACTGAGCCCGGCCTGCCCAGCTTAGGGACCCACCCTCTCTCCCTGGCTCTCAAGTAGTCTCATTTCTTCTCTAAACCCAACCCTGTTTCTCCTTGTCAACCCTCCCAAAGCCCAAGGGCACAGGTAGCTTCTTAATTCACGGTTTCTAATTCACTTCCTCCACCTGCCTAGCTCCTCTTAGAAAAAGGGCCTAACCTTCCTAACCCTACAGAGGCCTGTCCTATCTTCATCCCCAATTTAGAATAGGATTTTACTGTTGGAAGATATTTTAATTGAAACCCCTCATTTTAAAGATGAAGAAGCAGAGGAGGCTCAGAGAGGGGAAGGGATTTGTCCAAGGTCACCCAGGTAATAACTGGCAAGGATAGATTTTGGACCCTCAGTCCCCCCTCACCACATAAAGTACCTTTCCACCATACCAACCGGCCTCTACCCTCTGTCTTCACCTTCCTAATCTCCATCCTAATCCAACTCCCTGTTGCCAACTGCTCTGTCATCTTCACCACACCTCCAATCCTCACCCATTGTTCAACTTTCTCTCAAGGG